AGATAGAATGAAGCAGAATGATGAAAAAGGGGTCCCTATGTCCTCCAGCAGTCTAAGCCTATAGCAGCATAACTATAGAGATAGCTCAGGATAAGCTGAGCCACTCTAACTATAAGCTTTATCAAAAAGGAAAGTTTTAAGCCTACTTAAGCTTAAGCCACACATATAATCATAAGACAGCAATAAAATAGTAAAATAAAAAAATATAAATTAGCTTTGTCAGACATCAAACAGAGAAAAACCAAGGGGCGTTAGTTCAAAAACTTATAGGCGTCCAGTGGCTGTAATCCATGCTTGTTTTTATCTGTTTAAGGTTCTGAAGCTTTTTTCCATTAAAAGGTTTTTAAAAGTCGAAATGTCAAGTTTTCTATCCTGTATTTACAGGAATGGATGAAGATCAGCAGGATGTTAATAATGAGGTCAGTTCTTCTGCCTCCGATATTATTCTAAATATTCTATCCTCTCTTTTTAAGGGAAGATGTAGGAAGAGCTAAGATCCAGTTTCTTCAAAATGTCATCCTCCAAGGTTTTTTTTTTCCTTTTTTCCCCCATAGTTTTATTTTGAAAGTCTGAAGCGGATACACCGTGTTTCGCCTTCCGGTGACGTCACTGCGAGTCTAGTAGTTTTCGGAGTTTTCGGAGAAAAAACTGTCCAGAAAACCCTACTGGGTCAGAACCTGGAGCCGGTCGGAACCAGCTGAGTCCGGTTCGGTTCGGTTTGGCTGAGCTGGAGACCAGAACCAGGTGAGTTCTTTGTTTCGAACCTTCAGAAGCTGCTGGTGGTTATGCTGGGAACGGGCTGAGGTCCAAAACTTCAGCAGAACCCGAGGCTGCGGTTCGGTCCATGTTGGACCTCAGAACNCCCAGCAGAACCTGAAGCTGCGGTTCGGTCCATGTTGGACTTCAGAACTGCAGCAGAATCTGAAGCTGCGGTTCGGTCCATGTTGGACCTCAGAAGTTCAGCAGAACCAGAAGCTGCTGTTCGGTCCATGTTGGACCTTTAGAACTTCAGCAGAATCTGAAGCTGCGGTCCGGTCCATGTTGGACCTCAAAACCCAGCAGAACCTGAAGCTGCGGTCCGGTCCATGTTGGACCTCAGAAGTTCAGCAGAACCCGAGGCTGCGGTTCGGTCCATGTTGGACCTCAAAACCCAGCAGAACCTGAAGCTGCGGTCCGGTCCATGTTGGACCTCAAAACCCAGCAGAACCTGAAGCTGCGGTCCGGTCCATGTTGGACCTCAAAACCCAGCAGAACCTGAAGCTGCGGTTCGGTCCATGTTGGTCCTCAGAACCCAGCAGAACCTGAAGCTGCGGTTCGCTCCATGTTGGACCTCAGAAGTTCCGCAGAACCTGAAGCTGTGTTTCGGTCCATGTTGGACCTCAGAACTTCAGCAGAACCTGAAGCTGTGTTTCGGTCCATGTTGGACCTCAGAACTTCAGCAGAACCTGAAGCTGCGGTTCG